TAATTGAACTTTCTTTAAAAAAAAAAAAAAAGAATTGGTCGCCATTCCCTCAGCTTGTTCCCACGCATACTTGGGAGGTGGTGGAGATTAGCACTGACAAACGGCATTCGTCAGATACAGTTTCCTGGGCACTTACTCCATCTGTCCTTATGCATCGGATATTTTCAAAAAAATTATTATTTCTCTAAATATAAGTGATGTTATGATACTCTTTCAATCTCATTTATAGGTAAAAACTAAGAAAAAATCAGAAGACTCATAATTTTATCTAAAAATTTAATAAATTTTTATTTTTATCTTTGTTAAATATTCATAACTTTATAATATTTTTTCTCTGACCAACATTTAATGAATAGTAAAAGAAAATATTTATAATAAAAATTAATGATGTGACTTATAGATAAGATAAATTAATAAATCTTCTCTATCTATCTTATAAATAAAACAAGATGAGTATTTTGAGTAATTGGACAATTTTCCATTATTATGTCGAAAGAGGGAGATGTTAATTGTGTACTTGCATCATCATAATGATATTATTATTATTATTATTATTATAGAAAAATTGAAATTTTTTTTATGGTTTTATGTTCTTTCAATTAAATAATAATTTTTTTATTATTTTATATAATTCAATTAAAAATATATTATGTATAAAAATAGAAGGACTAAACGTAGAAACATCATAATTCATAATATAACCTTTTTGGTAGAAAATTTTTGTTTCATTTTATATTTTATAGAATTTCAAAACAGCATTCAGTACCATTTTTTTTATTATACTCCTATATTATATGAGTAATATGCATAAATTAAAAGAAAACTTGACAACATGGTCAATATTTTAATGCCTCTAGTCCTATTTATGTAAGGCAAAGAGATGAGATCATTTTTTACTTATTTACAAGCCATATTATTAATTTTTTATCACAAATTTTTCTTTACCTCATTAAATTTTAGTGAAATAAAGTATGTTATTAAAGTATATATATTGAATAAGGGAAAAATTAAAAAACTTATTAATTATTTAGACAAAATTAATAAATTTTAAGATTTTTTATAATTTGGTGAAACATACTTGACAAGACATATAAATAGAATAAGAGGAATTTACAAAAAAAAAAAAGGACTGGAAGGGGTAAGTCTTGGCATAATTTTACATTATAAATATGAAAGACAAGATCTTATAAATAATCACGTTGGAGAAAGAATTAATGATTCTTTTTATAAGTCATTTTGAATAAAAAATGAATCATTAATTATTTGAAAAAATTAATTATTTAATTTTTATAGTTTTGACTTAGTTATAACTCAGTTTCTAAATTTTGACTCGTTATAACTCAGTACCTGAAGTTTTGACTTGGTTGTAAATTAATCCCTGAACTTTACCTTTTGTAATTTAGCCTATAAAATTTTAACCTTTTAAATATTAATCCCTATATTTTAAAAAATAAAATTATAAAAATTCAAAATATTTTAAAATTTATTGCTAATATTTAAATTATTAAGCCCTTTTAATCTTTATAAATATCATAAATATTAAAAGTTTAAAATATTTTTAATATTTATAATTTTATGTTTTAAAATATAGGGAGAAATATTTAAGAGGTTGAAACTTCAAGGACTAAATTGCAAAAGATAAAGTTCAAGGACTGATTTATAACTGAGTTAAAATTTCAAGGACTGAGTTATAACAAGTCAAAGTTAAAGAATTGAGTTACAACAGGGTCAAAATATAAATACTAAATAATTAATTTTTCTTAATTATTTTCTTTCAAGCTTACCCATCATAATTTTCATGAACAGAGTAAAAGATACATATGAGAGAGAATGTTTTTAAAAATATTGATTTATTTAATAAGGGTAAACTAGGAAATTTGTTTATTTTTCACATAACACACATCAATAGTTTAACTGCATCTTATTGTTTTTAGTGAAGTAGTGAAGTGACTTACTCTCTCCAATCCTAATTATGGGACAATTTTTAACGAATGATAGTTAATTTAAACTTGGAAAAATGTGATTTTAATTTTAATTTTACCAAACACTAAAACTAATTGCCACAATAAAGTGTATTTTAGATCAAATATTGAGAAAAAAAACTAATTATTTCTTTTTCCTATAGTTTGAATCAAATAAGGCTTGAAAACTTTGCTTGTAATTAAAAACAAGTAGGAATACATACAATACCGGAGGGAGCATGATACGGACAGAGGCACAGTACCACCCACAAACGCACACATAGTATTAGCAATTTTTTTTTTTTTTAAAAAAACCACAATTGGCAAAAAGTTAGTGGAGGCAATTGCCCCAAATGCATGATGCAGACATGCAGATACGTCCTTGTCCACTCTAAAAGCTAGAGGGAAAAGTGAAAAGTCACTTTATTTATACTATGGTGTGGAAAATGAGAGGGAAATGAAAAACATGTGCATTAAAACAAATTAAATATGGTACAAGAGAAGTGATCAGAGATAACTATTGTCCTGAAGAACGGAGCCAAGATATTTCATCAATCTCCTTTAATTTTCAATGTAAACCACTTTTTTTTTTACCAATATAAACCACAATTAGATCATCGGAAAATTATCTTTTATTTTTTGTGAAGATCGAATCCTTAATTTAAAAGCAAACTTCGCAAGCAAATGTCTCACAGTCAGTTGAAAAAAAATGAGGAAAATACCCCTGATTTATAACCCAATAATAGCAAAAATAATTGTGAAAATATATTGGGCCACATTTAATATACGACAACGGTAATGTGTGAAGTTTTTAATGGATGTCTCTCCAGAATTACCTTTTTTTAGAACTATTCAAAGTCGTTTTCCTGCTCTATCGCCCAATATTTTAATGCCATAAATTTTGTCTTTTTAGATTTGTGTGTGTGTGTGTGAACATCAGGTATCTTGAGCTTACCCTACATCAAGCTAAAAAAAAATTTAATTAGAGTCAAAATTAATTCAGATTGAGTCAGAATAGGATTCTTCAAAGCAAAAGCTTTACCTTAATCAACCATATCATGCTTGTCTTTTCATATTTTTGGCATTGTCATCTCAATAATTTAATGTCACCTTTAATTTTTTATGGCTAGAACAATGTGATTTTGCCCTAGACTCCGAGTCACTTATTCAAAAATCTCCTGCTCATCGCACACAAATTACTAACATTGGTACATGAAAATATAATATCATGATTATTAATTGAAGTGTAGAAAAAACATCTATTTGATCATTGAAAAAATCTTCGATAGATTATGAGTTACTCACGATATATATATATATATATATATGATTTTATGCGACTAATCGCTTGCAAAATGATTGACCGAAGAGTAATCATGAAGTCAGATAAAAAAAAAAAGTAATAATGAAGGGATAGACACATATCTAAAGGTGAAAGAAACAAGGAACTAACAAAAAATTAACCTCATAAGCAAATGTCCTTAGAACTAGAAGAAATAACTGAGAAAAAGCATAATTAACTTTATATTATATGAATGCATTCTGGAGACATTTGTGAAAAAAACATAGTTTTGAATTCTAAAAATGCATTAAGGTATTGTTTGGATTGATGAGTTTGAATTTTAGAATTAAAATCTTTCATTTGGGTAGTTTAAGAAATTTTAATTGAAGAAAAGAGATGAATTGAAATTCAAAACTAAAATGAAAAACTCAAAATGATGAATTTATTTTTTTTTAAATGAACACAACATAAGTAAAGATATGAAAGTCATTGAAATACTAACAGTAACAATGCGAAAAGATAAATATATTTAAAGTGATTAAAATTTCAATGCCTCGGGTGTAAAGGTAATTTAAAATTATAAATAAATTATAATTTAAAATATATTTGAATTTAAATCAAATCCCAATTAATTTTGTGTGTGTGTGGTGTGTATATCCAAATTAAATGAGAGATTTGGTCCAAGTCCAAATCCCAATTAATCCAAATACATCATAAAATTATTTGATGCTACGGACATACATTAATAACCATTTTTTAGAGAAACTTTAATCTTTAATTAGATTTTCATAACAAAGAAAAGATTCATTTAACTATAAAAAATGACTTTTTGGTGAAGACAAAAAAAAATTCACCCCAAAAGTTGATGCCAAAACTGGACTTTTTGCAATGACTTATAAATGTTGTCATTACAAGTGAAGTTTTAATGGTGATTTTTTATTATCATCACTATAAATGGATTTTTGGTGAAAACATTTAACGATTATTGTCAAAAGTAAATTTTTGGTGGTGACTTTTAACAGTTGCCTCCAAAAATAATTTTTGGTGGTGATATTTTGTAGCAACCAAAAATATTTTTGTATAAATAGTTTTAAAATTAAAAAAATAAATCATGTAATTATCATTGTTGCCATTAAAAGTACTTTTTAAAAAATTTAACATAATTCAAAATTATATGAAATAATTTATATAATTATAATTTAAAGGATTAAAAATAATTTTTCTTAAGGATTATTTTTTAAAATTTAAATTTAAATAAAATGATTCAAAAGGTATTTAGGAAATTAAATCATTTTTTTAATTTTATATTATTCACAATGAAGAATTTTTGGCTGTGACATTTGTCGCAATTAAAAGATTAGACTTGTGGTGCTGATTTTTTATCTGCAAAAAGTCATTACTAAAAACTTATAGCAGTCACTTTTAAATTTTTTAATGGTAACTTTTGATCGCAATTAAAAGTTATTTTTTTAATGAATTACAATGTCATAAGTTCGATAAGTTCAAAAATCTAATCTTGCATAACTCATCTACTATATGTAAATTATATCAAAAGTTTATTGAGGCTAGAAAGTTTTGACTTTTCTTGGAGATCGACTCTTCCTATCTTTTCCACTATTACAAAGTAACAACCGTTTGAAAGCAATGGGGTGGAACTTGGTATAAAAAGGGGACCAGGTAGGGAAGATAAGGCAAGTAAGGTGTTGTGAATTAGCAAGAGTCACTAAAATTTTCACACTCTACAAGTGAGGGGGGAACAATATCATTGAAAAAGAATAAATCTGAGAGAATGAACGTGGCTTCTGTGTTGCACATGAATGAAGGTGATGGAGAAACAAGTTATGCTAACAATTCTATGTTACAGGTATACACGCGCGCGCGCATACACACCCCTTCATCAAATCATTTCTAGTTTTAAATTGCGTGCATATTTCCAAGAAGGTACTGAAATGCATAAACTTATATACTAATATACTATACACGCGCATGCATACTTTATGTGGACAGCAAAAGGTGATTTCTTTAACAAAGCTCATAAGGGAGGAAGCTATAACTTGCTTCTACAAAGAAAGACATCCAAGAAGCCTGGCAATTGCAGATTTGGGTTGCTCTTCTGGACCAAACACTTTGTGTGTGATTTTTGAACTGATTGAAACTGTGGAGAGGCTTTGTAAAGTCCTAAACCATGAATCTTCAGAATACACGATCTTCTTGAATGACCTCCCTGGCAATGACTTCAACAACATCTTCAAGTCTCTTGAATGCTTCAAAAAAAACCTAAGAAGTCAAATCGCCGAAGGCATTGATCAATGCTACATCACTGGAGTTCCTGGTTCTTTCTATGGCAGAATTCTTCCCACTAGTTCTCTGCATTTTGTTCATTCCTCCTACAGTCTTCATTATATATCTCAAGTAAGTTTACTTCTCTTTTGAAGATCATTCAATAACTCTTTTTGGCCACTGCTAAGATTATTGAGCAACTTATCGTCAATATTTATAAATGAATTAAATTGTGGTTCATTAGGTAGATAGATATTGGGTGTGATTATTAATTCATAGTCAACATTTTATGATGAGTCCCACATAGGGAAGCTTCATAAAAGGAGTGAGGTTTATTTATATGATATGCTCTCTTTTTTAATAGGTTAGCCTTATGGGATGTGTTCTTCCTTTAGATTTATGTCCTACATTGAGAGAGCATCATTACAAGTGAAGTGTATAAGTGTGAGGAGATCTTTTACCTAATATGCTAATATTTTGAGATGAACTTTCTCTTTAAACCTGTGCTCATGACATTACATAAATACCTTTAACGTGTTGGAATAGTCTCCCCCATATCAACATGATATATCTATTATATTTGTATGTGACATATGATTCCTAGTTTTAAAGAAAAAAAACCTTAACTTGCATGCCTCTTAAAAGTTTCATTTCTTCCCTTTACTGTTAATTAATTTTTAGTAAAACTAGGTCTATTGCCTTTACATAGAACCTAAATATCTGTAATTATATACTAGCATGAAAGGTATAAAGTCTTGCTCTTTTAACTACTCTTTTCATATTTCATTCCTATAGGTTCCTGAGGGTGTGGAGAACAACAATAAGGGCAATATTTGCATAACAAGCACGAGTCCTTTGAGTGTTCAAAAAGCGTACTACCACCAATTTCAAAGAGATTTTTCATTATTTCTCAAGTGTCGTGCTCAAGAACTTATTGAAGAGGGCCGTATGGTTCTTATACTTGGAGGAAGAAGTGGTTGCGACCCATCAAGTAATGAATCTTGCTACATCTTGGAGCTTTTAGCTCAGGCACTCAATGACATGGTCTTAGAGGTACATGCTTATCTTATCCTAATTTTTGTATCTTATTGTTTTAAATAAGAAGGCTACATAACAAACCGTGCTAAGGTATTCTAAGTCATATTAGGGGGGGGGGAATCTCCCAGCGGCCGCGGACCATTATTGAAGATAATATAACAACAAAATTATGACGATGAGTGTGGCAAGCAAAGCAAGCAATTTATCCATCTTTTTTAATACTCAATTTTCTTTGAAATGCATGCCAAAAGAAATAAAATAAAGAAGTAAACATTTTAGGATAAAAGAATTTGTTTTGGTGAGTGGTGTAGGGAATCATAAAGGAAGATCAGATAGATTCATTTAACATTCCTATCTACACTCCATGCCCAACTGAATTGGAGTTAGAGATTGAAAAAGAAGGATCATTCACTTTGAATCGCTTGGAGGTATTTGAAGTAAGTTGGAAGGCTGCATGTGGTGAAGAACTCAATGACAATAACAGTGGATTCAAAGTTGCACAGCTTGTAAGAGCTGCAATGGAACCTCTACTTGTGAGCCACTTCGGAGAAGCTATTATTGATGATCTTTTCCATCGTTACCAATACATATTAGCTGACCGTATGGCTAAAGAAAAAACTGTGTTCCTCAATCTTGTCGTATCTTTAACCAAAACAACTTGAAGAAGGCCAACATATATGTGTTTGTGTTTCTATGATACATTGTTGATGCATCGAATGCATTATCGCATCATTTTGTGTTTGTTTTTTTTTTTTTTCCTGAGATCGTGTATGTTTGAGTTTAATTAACATATATGCATTTGTGTTTCTATGATACATTGTTGATACATCGAATGCATTATCGCATCATTTTGTGTTTGTTTTTTTTTTTCCCCTGAGATCGTGTATGTTTGAGTTTAATTAATCTGGTGTTTTAAGTAATGTAATAATTTGTGGTGTCTAGAATGTCAAAATACTTTGTTGTGTGTAACAATGTAAGATTTTAAAAAAAGAAGCACAACAAATTAAATTATAAATAAATATGCTTTTCGATCCTCAATACGTTATTTCGATGGTTAAAGAGTAATTTTTCTTTTGAACTCTCTTACAAGGAGTACCTGTTATATTAAAATATCCATTGAAGCAGGATCACTCTTTAGGTGTCAAAATCATTACAATATTGCATTTTAACTAATTAAAGGGCATTGGTGTTAACCTTTAATTTCATATCGATACCCCAAGCTCAATAATGTACATCCATTTTCCCTTTTAACTTAGACACATATGTCATCACATCATATTTAAGATGCCACTAAAATTGACAACTAAGTAGCTTGTACCAATGATCAACTAATAGTATATGTGTGTGTCTATATTGCAAAATGTTATATAGGTATTTGTAAATAAAAATGATGTTAAAAAAAGATGGTGGTGTACTTGTAACTTTAAACAACACATTTACGCTTGCGTCGTTTTTTTTTTTTGAAAAATAAAAAAAAATCCCTTGGAGTTTACCACGTCGGTTTCTCTTGAAACCGACATGATAAAGCAAATCCATGTTGGTTGTGTAAACCCGATGTGGATTTGCAATTTAAAGTCACAATACAACTGTCAGACGCACCCATTCAAGTTTCTAACTTTTTAGATTCTCACTCTCCAAGCTTTAAACTTTGCCTCATCATTTCGTCACTGTTAACTAAAGCCAGACTCGTTGCCTCCGTCCGCAAACTGCAGCATCGTCATGCTCAGTCCGTTGCCGTCCACTTGTCGTCGGTGAGCTCCATCCGTTGTCTGTTGGTGCTCGAGGGTTCCGTTTTGGGTGAATTTTTGCGGTTAGTTTGAGTCTCATTTTAATTTCTGCCAGCTTCCTCCATCTTTCATTGTGGGTGTATGTTCTTTCTTCCACATTTTCTTCTTTGTTTATGTTTGCACTCAAATTATGAATTTAAAGGCCTAGACTCAACTCAACTTAATCAGTTTTAAATAATAAGAAAAAGAATATTTCTAAAGCCTTAGTCATTAAGTTAAAACCATCCACACTCTATTCATGATGAGTGACCATGATGAAGGAAATACTTCATAAATTTAAGAAAAGTGGCTATTATGGAGTTTGAATACTAAGTCAAAATCATCTATAAATCGAAGAGCCCTCTCTCAATAAGGATCATCAATATCAATAAACTATCAGTCTCAGACTCCGTGTTTGCTATTTTATTTTATTTATCATATAGTTTTAGTTTTTATTTTTTCGTAATACGACTGACATAGCTTACCACCTCTTTAATTAATATATCTCTACTTCTCTATATTTATTTTAATTTTCTTCATTTCACATTCTCACATTTGTGTGAACTGAATTAATTTGGTAAGCCTAAAGCAATATTTTGCTATTTCTTTTATACAATTTATAAACCAAAAATCTTCATTTCAAGAAGATTTAGAAGAATAGAAAACATCTCAACATTAACGCTTCATATGTAACATGTCATGCATGATGAATTTAATCCATAAATTTCCAAACTATATCTGGACAATATTCATAGTTTTCCAAGTCTCAAAGTAGAAAATAAATAACTTCTATACAAACAACATTTGAAAATAAAGTCTTCATGAAAGCCAAATTTCTTTTATGCCAGGGATGACTAGGAAACTATCACTAGGCTTCTAACAAAACGCACAAGACATGAGAGATTAGTCAACAATCCTATCACGTGTTCTATAATTATGTTACACAAGCCCTTAAACATGAAAACTCCAAATTATAATGCAAACTTAAACAGAAAATGTTATAAAAATCTCGTAACTTGTATCAATGATATGCAATGTAATTTCAGCAACTAACCACGAGTGTTTTGAAGTTATTTGAACAACTAGACATTGTAAAACAGTACGAGGTATAAATGAAATAAGGTTTTCTACAATGAAATCTTCATCAATTTAATATCAATAAGATTATTAGGCCAACAATTAGATGAAAAACACCATAAATTATGGAAGCCATATAAGAACCAGCTATGAGCACCACATCAAGATGTTTAACTGTAATGGTCTAATTTATCCAATAATTAATATTTTAGTGAAATGGAATTTTTATCACAAGGCAAAGAAAGTTGGCCAAACACAAACACAATTAAAACAGCAAATCCATTAAATCCAAAGAATATGACAGTTCAATCCATTTTGCAGGGAATCTCAATCCTATTCTGTGATGACGCAATTTCTTGAAGTACAACATGAAAGTTTCACCCCAAAATAATATATACATACATATATATCTCTGAAAATAGAGAAAGTTTCACTAAATTAGATCCAACAAAAAAAAGGGATAATTTTTTTTTTTTTTTGCGGGCTTTGTGTACGAATTCAAAGCGGTTCGGTGAGACCAATCAAAATCAATGACAACGAGGAAATAACTGATATTGTTACCAAGGTTAGATGGAATCGTGTTGCAATGAAAGGAAAATCAAAATCTCAACCATTTAATCACCCATACATTAGACAAGGAAAAGAGGGAAAATGGAATGATACGCACCGACGGAGAGGTAAGAAGGAATCGAAACTCCCTCAATCACCCCAAAACAGCACGTCTTTGAACAGGAAAGAGGAAGAAAAAGAAAAATCTGCAATCCGAACAGGGGAGAAGGAAGAAGAATCTAATGCACCGACGCAGGCGGACAGGGGAGGAAGATTCCGGCACCGAACCAAGAAGAAGGTCTTGCGAGAGAGAGAGACCTCCAGTTATGGCAATCTAGCTCCCAAAGCACCGCCAGTGACGCAAACAGAAACAGAGAAGATAAATCAGAGAATGAGAATGACGATGCAAGGCAGGGAAAGGAGAATAAAATAGTGACCTTAGGGAACCACCACAGTGACGGACGAACAGCACCCCATGGTTGTCGGCGGTGGAAGAACGAAGGGGAGGAAGAAGGTTGAACAGAGACCGAGCTCTCCCTCCGGTTCTGCAAAAATCAAAAGACTGAAGAGGAGGAAGGAAGAAAATGCTGATTTAAAGTGTGTTTAGGTTTCAGATTTTAATTTATTATTATTGCTTTTTTTTAGGACATTTTGGTAATTTCGTTAAGCTGAAGATGAAAATAAAATCTTTCATTGGCAAAAACAAGGTTCGAACACGCAACTGGAGAATGAAAATCTTTGGTTAAAATTGTATCCATCAAATCACCAATGTCTGTTGGTGTATTTGTTTCATAAGTTAATAAAGAAAATTTTGACTTTTGTTATTTTGCTAAAATTCCTAACTCATTAAAACTTGACTTAAATCTAAACCCCCCTTCCTTCTCGTAGAATCTACTCTAAAATTAATAAAATACAATCAAGATACTTAATCATAAATTTTTTATTTTATTCAAAACTTTGGGTCATTACAAGTTCTTAAGCTTTCATTGTATTCATTTACTCTTTATAAAGAGTTATTCTTTGAGAGATTTTTTTTTACAATTAAATTAAAATCTTGGAAAATTTTTTTCAAGTGAGTTGTAACAACTTTGTTGGTTGTAGTAAGTATTGTTATTGAAACAAGATTAATCAAGTCTTGAGAGTTATATTGAGGTTGCAAGCACCCATTGAAGCTTGTAATTATAATTAAAAATTTCAAGAGTAATCTGAGAACTTGATGTAGGCCAAATTTTTGGACTAAATTAAGATAAATCTTGTGTTCAAGGCTTTTCTTCTCTAAATCTTTTGTTATTTACTTCTATTCTTATTGGTTGCATTCATTCATTTGGGTATATAAAACCAAACAAATTCATTGTCACCCAATTCGCCTCCCATTTGGGTGCTAGTCATATCCAACATAATTAAATCTGGGGGAGTACTTGCACTCTCTTTTTAATATTATTTATAGATTTTTCTTTTTTCTTTTGCCAAATTTGCAAATTAAGTAGATTGAGGTTCATTAGTTGGTTGGTATGACTATCAATTTGTAGCTAGGCAACAATGATAACTATTGGTGGTGGTCAGCCCCTATATTAGCATGTGACTTTTAACCTTAATATGCTTCTAACATTCATTTATCCTCCTTAACTTTTATAGAATTTTTTTTTAAATTATTCCTGGTGGATTTGAACGTTTCAGTTTTGATAAATTTTATTGTTATAATAATTAAAAATACATTATCGATAAGTATAAAATTTGGTATATTCAGTACGGAATCCAAAATGAGTTGTATTATTCAACACTTTTTTATCAATGCCTTCTATGTTTGTATACAGTGAGATGTACATTAATGATTAAAAATATTTTTCTTGAAAATAACATTCTTATTTATAATTGGTATAAATTCTGCCCCTCTAACTAATTCTTCTAGTTTCATTCACATATATGGGTTCCTAAAGGTGTGGAGAATAAAAGGGCAATATTTGCATGGCTAATACGAGTCCTTTAAATTAACCTGAGAAATGCTTATTAACATCTGTTTCAAAGAGATTTCTCGTTGCTTCTCAAGTGTCATGCTAAAGAACTTATTGAAGGAGGTTGTATGGTCCTTACACTTGAGGGAAGAATTAGTAGTGACCCATCAAGCAATGAATCTTGCAATAGCATCTTGGAGCTTTTCACGAAGGCACTCAATGACATGATCCTGCTGGTACATCTATATTTTTATTTCACAATTTTAAATATAGAATTTTCTTTGAAATACAACCAAAAAAATAATAATAAAGTGAGAACGATAGTTAAGTTTGAGAAGAAAAAAATTAATGATAATTAATTCCTCAACAAATTTCTCTTAAAAGCAAGTTGCAATTATTGATTTAAACAATTACAAATTCATGAGTTTTGATTGTAAATAAAAACATTTAAATTTTAAATGTGAATCCAAGTTTACAACCAGAATCCATGTTTCCAACTGTCTAAATT